TGAAATCTAAAACCAGATCACAGATCTGGCACAATGAGAAAATATTGTACCGTTGCAATTTTACTTTATTTTACTATAGCCATGATCGCCCCAGCTGCAAGGGAAGCCAGAAAAGCAAGTATCTGGCAGTTTTAACTCCTGAAAGTAGTTTTGTCCACATTCCCTCAACATATAAAAAGTTCAGAGGATAGGTGGCAAAAATGGACTCAGTCCCTTCAACATTTATGCTGTCTTAGAATGATTTATTGAAGGAAGTTGTGTGGTTTTATCCAAGGTCAGGAAGATGATATACCTTATCTCTTGAAGACTCTATGAAGGCTTGAAATATCTGTGACAGAAGAAATTTCAAAATACTCTTGACATATAAACTGAGTGGGTAGTTTTAATATCCAATATTTAAATTAAAGCCGCTAGATTTGTATTTAGAATTGGTTCCTCAATTTTTAATTCACATAGTTGACAGTTTTCACTTATTATGTGGCTTTAGAGAGAGAAAATTGTTTCTAAGTCTTCAACTGGAAACAAAAAGTTCCCAGAGTTTGATGAACATTCTCTCATGGAAGATAAAAATCTATATATTCTTTTTCTCTGAACTATTAATACATTTGCGCTACTGGTGGAATGCATCCCGTGAGAAGAACGTCAGCCAGGAGGAGAAAGAGCAGTTATAACTTGACTTTATTTTAAACTTCTCATCTATAAAAAGAGTGCCTGAAATACCAGCAATCCCGTGCCCAACTGTCCTTTCCAAGTAATGGACAGTTATTCCAATCCTGTGATTAGCCCAGCGCCTGTCTTAAAGTGGCCTGGGCCTCCACCACTGATGCATTCCAAGCCCAGTAGGTGGTTCACAGAGCATAGCTCCCCCAGTGTGCGCATGCTAAGGCATCTCTGAACCAGTCAGACTCTGCCATCCAAAAAAGAAAAAAGAAACTCTTGGGGAATTTTTTTCAAGTGTCCATAGAAACTCAGCAAGACAATAAACTTTCCTGTCCATCATTTTGGCTCATAAGCAGATGAATCCTCCTACACATGATAACCACAAAATAGTTTGGTTGGTGACAATATTTAGCAATTACAGCAAGAAAGAAAGTTTAAAGGATTTTTTTTTTTAAAAAGGTCAATCTGCTGGTTGCCTATTTCTTTTCAAATAATCAGATAAAGTTTTTCAACAGAATTTGTGGAATAGCTACTTTACCTATTATGAGATGAAAGTTTGGTTGCCTCAGCTTCCAAATTTGTACTAAATTTATTCCAATAATTTATTGGATATTACATCTCTAGACATTTAAGATATACAGAAAGGGGCTCAGAGAACATGTCATCACCCAAATGGAGAGAGTTGCTCCAGGGAGGTGGATGGTGATCTGGCAGTAGAAATATGGCTGTCTCAAGGGTGAGTGAAAAGAACAGGATACAAGGAAAAGATTAGTCCAGAGGACTAATGGACCACAGTTACCAAGGCCTCCACCAGACTGAGTCCAGTACAGCTAGATGGTGCCTGGCTACCACCACTGACTGCTCTGACCGGGATCACAACAGAGGGTT